TTTTAAAGCAAAAACCAAAGGCTTAATGCATGAGATATGAGATATCCAATATGTCATTACATGAGAATTTCCAAGACTTTCTAGCACTTTCTAGATGAATCTAGGATCTTCCATTGATTGTTATATATTGAGGAGCTCACAATGAAGTAAGAGGTTGGTGAATTCAGTGGAGAAGAGTGAGGGAGAGAGAGAGGTATTCAAGTGTGGATTCCATTGCAAGCAAGCTTCGAATTCCACATTACAAGCTTCCTTCTTCCAAGATATTGCAAACAGAAAGGAGTACTCCATTGGAGGAGTAGTTGGGAGCAAGATCAAGCCCTGAATCAAGCCCTAACTGCACCTGCCATAACCATTTGACAGGTTTTGTTCTCTCCCCATATCTCTATATTTATATGCTTTCTGTTAGGTCTTTAGGTATAGAATGAGCATGTTAGGTTAGTTGATCATTCCCTATGAGTTAGAGAGCTTCTTGTGAGGTTTCATGGCAGGGTGATGATTCTTTGAGTTTCAAGAATAAGCTGTTCAGTGAGTGTTAGCACGCATGTTATAGTTTAGATTGATTAGGGTAATATGAGGAACAAGGTAGTACCATTAGAATTAAGGTTCATCGAAGTTGATATCAGTGTAGCATGTTGAAACCCTAACCTTCATGCGTTCTGTTTGGAAGATACAAGATGTTTCAGTGAAAACTATGGGTACCATCGTGTTCTTGGAGAGAAATGGCATGAATTTGGTCTTTAAATTTTATGTTTTCATTGAGTGAGCAGAGAGAACGAGGATGTTGAAGTATCACGCATGAAAACTGGTTTAGGAGTAAACCCTAGCTGGAGGTTGAAGACAACCTCTCAGCCGTCCGATCACCCTAAGACCTTTGACTTCCAATCTAATCCAAGGGCCATTATTTGAAAATGAAAACGGAGGGAATTGCCTAAGCTAAACTCTGCGTTTAGCTAAATGAGAAACCCTGGGCCTGTCCAGACTTCGCTACTCACACCCCCTCACACGGCCCAAACCAATTTTGAACTAGAATTTGTTTCTATTCACACCGTGCTTTTAACTTTTTTTCTTTTGTTTTTTTAATGCAATTTCTGATTCATAGTGGGCTTAAGGCATTCGCTATTTGCACCACCCCACCTCCAGCCCATCATAATAATCAACTAGGCGTAGTTTCTACACACACCCCCTCCCTATTTATTTTAATTCTTTGATTTTTATTTCTTTTAATTTTTCTTGCATCTTATAAAATTCATAAATGATAGAAAAATTAATATTTTTCATTTCTTGTTTTTTCTATAGGTTTATATTCCTGTCTAGAAAATTAATAAAAATAAAAATTCCATTTTACTTTTAGTTTAGTATTTTTAGCATATTATTCTTTTAAATAGCTTTTTAATGAGATTTAGGTGTGTACTTCATTTTGTAGAATTTAGTTTAGGACCTTCCCTTAATCTTTTTGAGTCATTATTTTTAGTATGATTAGGTATTGAGTCTTAGTTCCTTCTAGATTTATTTCAAGATTTTTAGATTAAAATTTGATTAGTTTAATTAGGTTAGCATTAGGGTACCAAATTAGGGTTTAGGTTTAGCATAGGTGAAGTAAATCATTTTCTTTTAGGAGTTTTGACTTGATTTTTGGGTATGGGATTATAGGGCTATTATGGGTAGGTGTAATAGACCCTTGTGAGCAAGCATTAGATTTTCCCCCCCTTATTTAGTATTTTTGGAGTATTTTCTGAATAGGACTGTTTGTGTGGCATGTTCTGTGATTGATTGTCTATCTATGGGGTTTATCTTTGGGGAATTGTTGTGGGGCTTGGTTTGCTTTGAGGATCTTGTTGAAGGAGCATGATGAGGGAGAAGATTGTAGATCAAGACCCAGAGGTTGAGAGGTTGGAGCTTGTTCTCTGTTTGTGAGGTTTGAGATCCTGAAGTTTGAGGGAAATTCATGGTACTTTCCTGAGGAAGGCACTATGGATGTCTTTCATTCTTTCTTCTCACCTCTTTCTTAAGTATCCAATGATGTTGGAGCCTTCATGTGAGTTTAGTTTCTCCTGAGGAGGAATGTAAACTGATCACAGTTGTTGAGCCACATGGGATACGATTCCTAAGTGGAAGCCTCCTAGTACTTTCCTGAGGAAGGCACTATGGGTCTGTTCACTTAGTTCCCTTAGTTCACGTAGGATTTCTTAAGTATCCAATGATGTTGGAGCCTTCATGTGAGTTTAGTTTCTCCTGAGGAGGAATGTAAACTGATCACAGTTGTTGAGCCACATGGGATACGATTCCTAAGTGGAAGCCTCCTAGTACTTTCCTGAGGAAGGCACTATGGGTCTGTTCACTTAGTTCCCTTAGTTCATGTAGGATTTCCCAAGTATCCAATGATGTTGGAGCCTTCATGTGAGTTTAGTTTCTCCTGAGGAGGAAGGTAAACCAATCACAGTTGTTGAGCCACATGGGATATGATTCCTGAGTATAAGCCTCCTAGTGCTTTCCTGAGGAGGGCACTATGAGTCTGCCTGCTTAGCTCCCTTTCTTTGGTAAGCTTGCTTTGAAGCTTGAAGACTGGGATTGTTTTCTCTTGTTTAGGGTTTTGCTTTAGGGCTTTGCTTAGACTTGATTAGGGTTTTGTTTTTAGGGTTAGGATTAGGGAGAGCTTAGATGTAGATAATTTCTTTCTCAAGCATGTGGTTTGTTTGCCTGATGGCACTTCATTTCTTTTATCTGTATATTGCTTGATGGCATGTTGTTTATTTTTCAGTATGATTACTGTTATTTCATGACTGGCTTGAGGTTGAGATGAGCTTGTGGAGGCTGAAGCCCCACACACATTTCCTCCCTCACTTGCATTGCATGCATTTTACTGTTAAGCTTATGCTTTGTCTGTTTTGGTGTATCATTGACATGATCCCTTAGGACTCTCATTTCCTTTGATAAGGATTTGATGATAGACTTTTAGGTTCAAACCTATGCATGAAAACTTCTAGGAGTTCCCTGTTCAAACCTCAACCATAGGATGAATCCGTGGTATGATAACAGTAGGACTTGATAGTCTCCCTCCTAGTTGGGTCTGTTCTCTTCTCATCTCAAAGCAGTTTAAGATGCAGTAATCATGAATGATTTCTTTCGTACGTTACGAGCCTTAAGCTATCTGAGAAAGGATTGTGGGAGAGTTCCTTTTCCACAGTCTGGATGTTTAGTATGGTACCCTTTGGGTGACATGCGACGCATTCACTCTCAGGTCATAGTCTCTAGTGCGGTTGAAATCGCAAACACAATAAAAAACACTTCTTTCAAAACAGGAAATAAACCGTAGTTTCCCGAACTACGTGAGATCTGATCTCTCATACCTGTTGAGAGTACGTAGGCACAATATGGAGAAGTCTTGGCGAGCTACCTTCCTCCATAATCCTTCGTAGGCCGAACTACGTTGACTCTGATTTCTCATTCTCTGATGAGAATATGTAGGCATAAAGTGCGACGCTTTGCCGAGTCATTTTTATTTTCTTTTTCATCCAGCCTTGATAGGTAGATAGATTATAACCAACCCGTCCAAGTAAACAAACAAGCGTGGATCCCGTCGAGTACGACAGACGTGAGGGGTGCTAATACCTTCCCCTTGTGTAACCGACTCCCGAACCCAGACAATGGTTGCGATGACCTTGTCTTACCCTTTTTCGTCAGGTTTTTCCGATCGTTTCCTTTCCCGCTCTGAGGGATAAATAACGAAAGGTGGCGACTCTTCTGTCATGCCGACACCTTATTTTCGCGCAAGCGACAGCTACTCTTTATAGATATCTCGGAGATGCTTCCATGTTCAGTTGTAAGCAGATTGGTAGTTATCCGACTCTCCTACAAGTATTTATTTTAATTTAGTATATTTTGTTTTAATTAATTTTATCTAGTATATTAATTTTATTTATCTAGTTTATTATGTTATAATTAATTATTATAAATTTAGTAACCATATTAATTTTGTAACAGTGCTGGATTCGTGAGTACTTTCCAACACTTGGAAAAAGAGGAGAGAACTGGATACCAGCTAATAATGTGGGTCTCCCTCGAGCGATGAGATGGTCCTATAGGCAGGGTGCCTTGAAAGTGGATGACTTGCGACCTATTTTGGACGAGCTGACACCTGCTGATGTCATATGACTCCCATTCGAGAATCATATAGTATGGCGTCAGTTTGATGAGTTATGTCTATATAGGGGGTGTCTGAGGTGGGGTGACACTATTGTTCCATACTTGCCTGACAGATGTATGCATTAGTTTGGATACATGCAGTATGTTCTACATCCACCTCTTGATTATACGATGGCTGGTGATATTGATGTTGACTAGATTATTTACCATCAGAGCCTTTAGGATGTGATTCGTTCGACAACACCGGCCACCACCCCATATGAGACAGATGATGGATATCTTGAGTGGTATTATCGTGTTTCACATCCTCTTCTGGTACCGCCCAATCGTGATGCGACAACAGAGATGCCAGTTCCTGTATATGAAGCATGACCATCTGATCCTATATTGGCTCGTATGTCTTCATTGATTTATCGTTATCTTCAACAGGCTGGTGCTGAAGAGGATGACCCACAGTTTGCTGATTTGTTCGAAGCTTTACATATTTCTCGATCATAGTGACTTATATTTATATTCATGGTTATATGTTAACTTTTATACTCATTTGACCTAATTGGTTTATGTTCATGTGTTAACTTTTAGACTCATTTGACCTAGTTGCTTTATGTTTATGTGTTAACTTTTAGACTCATTTAACCTAGTTGGTTTATGTTTATGTGTTAACTTGTAGCCTGAAATAAAAAATGAATAACATAATTCACGATTCATGTTTTGAAATTAAAAATGAAGAACATAATTCACGATTCATGTTTTGAAATTAAAAATGAATAACATAATTCATGATTCATGTTTTGAAATTAAAAATGAATAACATAATTCATGATTCATGTTTTGAAATTAAAAATGAGTAACATAATTTATAATTCATAATGCGTTGGTAATATAGGCGTAAGTTGTTGCCAATGTTGTAGACATCCTGCAAATCCTAGTATCCAAGATGTTGCTGCTGGAGAACGAAACTTCTTCCAATCTACTGTCACTGGTTCTTTCATGTTTACCTAAATAAAAAAATAATCAAAATATTAAGTAAAAATAACAAAAAAGAGTTAGGTTTAATCGCATTATCTAAAAACAACTAAGTACCTGAACCCAATGATTTCTGTTTACAAAACCAATGCAATAAATTGATACATTTGGTGAAAATGAAGTTGTCATAGGGAAGAAAGTTCAGCATTCAAATCCTAAATAGACAAGTACAACATTATAACGATTTGCTATCACGTAACCCATATCTGGTAGAGTTAACCATTTATGTGGTGGTTGAGGACCAAATTCCTCTATCATCAAAGATTCTCTCACTACTGCTAACTGATCAGTAAATAAATTGGCATACAAACTTGATCTTTCATTATGTATTATTTCCAACCCCAAGTCTCGATGAACCATTGGCCAAACATCTTCACCATATCCATGCAATGAAGCAATTACTCTAAATCCACAATTACCATCTGATACAACATTAACTACATCATTAATATATGGCCTGATGTGATTAGGAAACTGAAGGATGAACTGCTTAGATGATTGTGAAGATTGTGATAATTTCAACTTCTTCGAAGCCTGTGATGGTTGAGATTTCTTTTATGAAGACTGTGATAATTTCAAATTCTTCGAAGTTTGTGATGGTTGAGATTGCCTCTGTGAAGATTGAGATGCTTGATCAACATACTCGTGATACGAAGGGTCTCTATAAACATCATACCCTACTGATTTTTTGTCTTTTTTCTTGACTCCCCCTTTAATTTTTATTTTCTCAGGTGGTGGACACATAGAAGTCATTGTGGGGAAGGCAAGTTCAAAAACCTTACTTTTTAATGCCCTTTTTCCAACAACATCCAGTGACTTAAACCTTTTCCATAACTCATCTATTGCACTACTCATATCCACCTCTGATCCATCATCTACGTCTTCGTCCAACTTAACTTCCATACTTAGTTTTCTCCAATGAACATGCACAACATCTATTGGTATCGGTATACCATCAATTCTATATCCTGTCAACTCACAAGCACAAGGTAATTCGTAGGTTGTTCTAAGAGTACAACGACATATTTCCTTGTTAGTTCCAACATAATCAACTCGTTTTAACTCTTCAGCAATGCGTCTCAATACATCTCAAGACACTGAACCACATAAATTATTGTAAAATAGACTTACGTGGGCATGCTCAACTTCATAAAAACTCTTTTGAAAAGAAGCTCTAATATTGCCCAATTGTAACTTTAAGTTGTCATTCATAGCCTCCCCAATATTTGGCCATGTCACCAATATTGTTCCCCAACATTTGCTTTAACTTCCAATGAGCAGACTCAACCCTAAAATTAATACATATTAAAACTATTTTAAAAAAATTCAAAAAAAAATATACAATTTAGAAATACTAAAAATAAATACATACCGGTTAGTCGTGGTGTTACCCAAATGTAGCACTCGATTAATCCATGCTCCAACAAATCTTTGTCTATGTGGTGTCAATCATGTATCCTTCACATAATCAATAAATTCATTACAATCAACACACGTCTGCTCAAGTTGGTTCAACCTTTGATCATACTCAACCTTCTGTTTGTATCATACTCTTCTGCTTATACATTTGCGTGATCCGAGTGACATTATCTGGATCTTGCTCTTGCAATGAAAGCAATATATGTCTAGGTGGAACATTTCTCTTTGTCAAATCAACAACATGTTGCTTCTGATTCGCTGTCAACCTACCAACAAATGCGTGACCTTCTAACCTATCAGGTAAATCATGGTTATGAACTCCACATTTTACATCAATCTTCCATCCAGATCCATCAGTCGCTGGAATTGATCTGATTTTAAATGGACATCCATATTTTTTCGTCGCACTCTGGGCTCCACTATCAATATCTTTGTGTTTTCCTCCTTTATCACATCCAAATATTAATTTGTTACTTCTTCCTCTCTTGCCTGTTTCAATATCTGAACGATTGATGATAATCGTTACTTTATTTCGGATTTCGATCTCTTTAATCCATCTTATCACCTCTTCTCGTGTACCAAATCTTTGAGTAGTTGAAAAAACATCAGACGTATCTACGCATATCTGATCTTTATCGCATATTTGTAAAGGAATTTCTGAACCTGCATAATTTTTTTTTTTAAAAACTTAAAAAAAATACACTACTACAAAAAAGTTTTTTAATAGCGCTTTTTTTGCTTTTTAATAGCGCTTTAAAGCGCTATTAATCAAGGCGCTATTGTAAAACAAAATTTTTAATAGCGCTTTAAAAGCGCTATTAAATACAGGTACTATAATAGCGCTTTTGAAAAAGCGCTATTATAGTACCTGTATTTAATAGCGCTTTTGAAAAAGCGCTATTATAAGTCACATATTTGATAGCGCTTTCAAATAAAGCGCTATTATAGCACCGTTAATTTGCTTTAATTTTGATAGCACTTTCAAACAAAGCGCTATTATAATACACATATTTAATAGCGCTTTCAAATAAAGCGCTATTATAAGACAAATATTTAATAGCACTTTCAAAGAAAGTGCTATTATAATTCACATATTCGATAACACTTTCAAACAAAGCGCTATTAAAATACCGGTAAATTGCTTTAAGTTTGATAGCACTTTCTAACAAAGCGCTATTATAAGATGGTGTTTTATGGGATGTATATATATATATATATATATATATATATATATATATATATATATATATATATATATATATATATATATATATATATATATATATATATATATATATATATATATATATATATATATATGTATATATATATATATGTATATATATATATATATATATATATATATATATATATATATATATATATATATATATATATATATATATATATATATATATATATATATATATATATATATATATATATATATATATATATATATATATATATATATATATATATATATATATGGCTGGACAATAAAACTACTGATACTACAATAACGCCATTTTGTAAAATAAAACTACTGATACTGTGTAAGAATTGTATGGTTATGTTTGTAAAATAATACCACACATAGTATCTATTTTTAATGCAATGTAATCAGTACAATATATATGCGTTAATAATTCAAGTTGATTTTACACATATATAATGCCATTTTGTTATTTAGACATTTGTATAAATATTTAAAAAAAAATACATTTTTATATAATTTTTAAATTATTATTTCACATCTTAATAATATAAATATTATAAAACCAAATTTGATAGGACACTTGTGTCTATCCATCTATCCATGAAAACTAGTTTCATAAACAAAATTACAACACCAAAGAGAAAAAAGGTATTGTATCTTTGGCATACAAACAAGAACCAGTGCCCAAGCTTAAAATGTCCTTAAGATCTGATACCGGTAGAACACAACGTAAACTGGTCTAACAACTGTTATATCAGTACTCAGTTCATAAAAACTCAAAAAATACTACTACTACATCCGAGAAGACTTGACCTTCCAAAGAGAATATATATAGAAAAAAGTATCACCTCTGTGTAACCTATTGAAAGCCCCGTAGCGGAAGTTCCATAGCACACCCCACGACCCTGGATAATAAAATTAGAAGTCGGCGAACTGTCGAACTCCCACAGCTGTTGCACAATGTTGTTTACTTCGTAGACGGTTGGAGCGATGAGTGTCAAATACACGAACTGCAGTGATAAAAACCATGTCAAAGACTCATAATCCATTTAAAAACGGGAGGCCGTTGGCGGCGAGAAAACTTGACACAAGAATTACACAACAATTGCCAGGAAATAACATACCAAAGTTGCTGAAATAGCAACTCAGAATTGATTCCAACACCAATCTTCTCGCCAAAGCAATTCCAAGGCTATGCCGAATCCGCGAACTTTATTCGAGGTTTTCAGAACACTTGGACGTCGTCATTGATGTCGCAAGAGGAACTAACAGTCCGGCAAGTTCTTCTTTGCTGTCATAGAATCAACAAAATTATTTAGCATAAGTGTCATCACTTGCTAATTCTTCATACAAACTCACTGAAGTTGGTGATATGCCATGAAAAAAACCTACAACCGACAAAAAACCAAGCCGAGATAGAAAGAAGCATGAAAGACGGAATTGCAGCAGCATGTCCACTCAACCTGCATTTCAACAAAGGGATTTGACTTATCATTCAGGTTTAGAATGTGCTTTTGAGCAATCTTAATGTAGAACGGAATTCAAACCGTACTACCTTCTTCATGCACGTAAACCTCAACGACAACTCCGAGCAGGTTTTCTTTGTCAAGCTTTATCACTCTCAATTAGTTATGTTTCCATTTGTTTTCCGTGAGAGCCACAATCCAGTATGAAGTTTCAACCTGTTGTACGAGACTCCTCCACGCCAGCATTCATCAAAACCTCCTAAAACCAGCTTCTGCACAACAGTGGTTCGTTTGAACTTAAGTAACAACTTCAGCCCTTTAGCAGAAGGTTATGAAATCAAAACAATATGAAAACTAGTACTTACTTGGGGTCACGGTGATAACAGATATAAGAGGTCCATATGCACCTCTCATAGGAATTGCATTAGTTCCTTTTCCTGCCCATGATAAGTGGATTTGAAAGGTGCTATCATTAACATCAACATTAAAGTCCCGAGCAATTCCCTTGCCGACTCCACCAGCTTCTTCCATAATGTTAAAGTCTTTTAAATATATATGACCCTGTTATTATATAGTTTTGAAATTCAGAACTTTTGATTTATTAGAAACCAGATACAAAATATGAGCAACATTTTGGTAAAAACTAGAAACTAAGCGTCGGTCTGGATTGGTTTGCTTGAGTTTATCTACTGACATAAGTACAAGTAGAACTGTTTGTAAGAGCTTATAGGAATAGCTTAAGACATGTCCATAAGTTGTTTTCAACTAAATTCCATAAACTCTATAAGATAGTTTATGAAAATAGCATATTGAAGATAGCTTATGAAAATAGCTTATAGAAGATACCTAATGAAAATAGTTTTCAACTAAATTTCATAAGCTCTCTATAGGATAAATATAACTTACAAAAGATAGCTTATGAGAATAGTTTGACTTTATGGTATCTTTTGTTATAGAAATAGACTATACATAAGCACTTATATGGTAAACATTAAAGCTATAAGTGCTTAATTAAGTCCATAGCA